GCAGATCAACAGGTTTCCCTTTTGAGAAGTTAGAAGATTTATTTTTAGTCATTCTTTCTGCCTTGCCAAAACTGATCCTAGGCTTCCAAGGATCTGAAGTGCTGCATGGTGCTGCCCCCAACTGGTTCTTTTTGGTGCTTGTATTATTACCACATCAGAAAATACATCACATTTAAATTTTTTTTGAAGCACTTCCACATATTTTATTATTTTTTTGAGACAGAGTCTCACTCTGTTGCCCAGGCTGGAGTGCACTGATGTGATCTCTGCTCATTGCAACCTCTGCCTCCCAGGTTCAAGCGATTCTCGTGCCATAGGCTCCTGAGTAGCTGGGATCACAGGTATCTGCCAACATACCCAGCTTATTTTTGTATTTTTAGTAGTGATGGGGTTTTGCCATATTGACCAGGCTGGTCTCAAACTCCTGGCCTCAGGCAACCCACCTGCCTTGGCCTCCCAAAGTGGTAGGATTACAGGTGTGAGCCATCAAAACTGGCCAACTTTCACATTTTTTGTTCAAGACAGGGTCTCACTCTGTCTCAGGTGATTGCAGGTAGATCGCCTGACGTCAGCAGTTCAAGACTACCCTGGCCAACATGGTGAAAGCCAGTCTCTGCTAAAAATACAAAAACTTAGCTGAGCATAGTGGCACATACATGTAATCCTAGCTACTCCAGAGGCTGAGACAGGAGAATCTCTTGAACCCTGGAGATAGAGGTTGCAGTGAACCAAGATTGCACTGCTGCCCTCCGGTCTGGGCAACAGAGCAAGACTTTGTCGAAAAAAAAAAAAAAAAAAAAAAAAAAAAATAAAAAAAAAAAAAAAAAAAAAAAAAAAAAAAGAATTTTAGGCTTAGAGGAATTTCCCTCTTTTTCTCCCTTGGGAGGAGGAGGGAGATAATGCATCATATAAGGTTTGAGTAAATTCATTTTTGAGCTCCTGTGCTGCATGAAGCTCTCTGACTCAGATGCAATGGTCTGTAACTCTCCAATGCAACATAGTGGTAAAGAGTATGAACTCTGGAGCCAGACTGCAGATTCTGCCAGTCTCTGCCAATTAACAAGTGGATAACCTTAAGCAAGTTGCTTAATCTCTAAATGCCTTCTCTAAAATAAGAGTAATCGTTTATTGTCTTTTTATAGTCCATAGCACAGTGATTGGATTTTCTTGTGCACATGTGAAGTATACTGCCCTCAAACCTTGTTAATGTCTGCATGTTGCCTGTCTGACATGAAAAAAACAACAAAAAGGAAAAAGAAAGTAACAGTATATTTACCTTAGAGGGTTATTGTGCAGATTAAATGAGATAATATATGCAAACCTCTCAGAACAGTGCCTGACACAATTTAAGTACTATATAAATACCAGCTGCTATTATTATCTATAAATAAATATACTTATTCACTTTTTTTTTTTTTTTTTAAGATGGGGTTTCACCAAGATGGCCAGGCTGGTCTTGAACTCCTGACCTCAGGTGATCCACCGCACCCAGCCTCACTTTTTTTTTTTGAGACTGAGTCTCACTCTGTTTCCCAGTCTGGAATCTAGTGGCACAATCATGGCTCACTACAGCCTTGACCTCCTGAGGTTCAAGTGATCATTCCAAAACCTCAACCTCATGAGTAAGTAGCTTGGACTACAGGTTCACACAACCATGCCCAGCTAATTTTTGTTTTTTTGTTTCTTTTGTTGTTGTTGTTGAGATGGAGTTTTGCTCTTGTTGCCCAGGCTGGAGTGCAATGGTGCACTCGGCTTACTGCAAACTTTGCCTCCTGGGTTCAAGCGATTCTCCTGCCTCATCCTCCCGAGTAGCTGGGATTATAGGCATGCGCCACCATGCCCACCTAATTTTGTATTTTTAGTAGAGACGGGCTTTCTCCGTGTTGGTCAGGCTGGTCTTGAACTCCCGAACTCAGGTGATCTGCCCACCTCAGCCTCCCAAAGTGCTGGGATTACAGGCGTGAGCCACTGCACCTAGCCAATTTTTGTATTTTTTGTAGGGATAGGATTTTGCCGCATAGCCCAGGCTGGTCTCCAGCTCCTGGGCTCAAGCAGTCCTCCTACCTCAGCCTCCCAAACAGGGATGAGCCACTGTGCCCACCCTTAGTTCACTCTTTTGTTTTTGTTTTTAATAATAAAGCAAAGCTACCCTTCATGGGTATATAGGAATGATGAAGAACAGCCAGACTATCTTCACAAAGTTTCTCCATGGCCTTATCTGCTACTCCTTCCTCCGTTCACTTTAGTCTTACTCTTGTCTTAACCACTTTACTGAAACTGCTGTGTCCAAGGTTGCCAATTATTTCCTGGTTGCAAATTCAGTGGACACCTTTCAAGCTCATCTTCCTCATTCATAGCTTTTGATACAGTTGGTCATTTCCTTTGTAGAATGTTTTCCTTCTGACATTTAGAGTGTCATTGTACTTCTGAACACTTATTTATTTATTTATTTTTGAGACAGAGTTTCACTCTTGTTGCCTAGGCTGGAGTACAACGGCACGATCTCTGCTCACTGCAACCTCCACCTCCCGGGTTCAAGTGATTCTCCTGCCTCAGCCTCCCAATTAGTAGCTGGGATTACAGATGCCTGCCATTATGCCTGACTAATTTTTTATATTTTTAGTAGAGTCGAGGTTTCACCATGTTGGCCAGGGTGGTCTTGAACCCCTGACAACAAGTGATCTACCCACCTTGGCCTCCGAAAGTGCTAGGATTACAGGCGTGAGCCACCATTCCCAGTTGGCCTTCTGAACATTTAGAATGTTCTCCTATTGACATTCTTGCCTGTTCCTTGGGATTCTGTTAATTTCCCATCTTACATCTTAAACCCTGGGCATGCATGACTTTGGAATGCATGACTGCTTCAGCTCAATGTTTTTGCCTCCTAAATATTAGTCTCTCATTTAGACTTTGTGTGTGTGTGTGTGTGTGTGTGTGTGTGTGTGTGTGTGTGTGTGATGGAGTTTCTTGTTGCCGAGGCTGGAGTGCAATGGCATGAATCTCAGCTCAGTGCAACCTCCACCTCCTGGGTTCAAGCAATTCTCCTGCCTCAGCCTCCTGAGTAGCTGGGCACCACTGTGCCCAGCTAATTTTGTATTTTTAGTAGAGACAGGGTTTTGGCATGTTGGTCAGTTTGGTCTTGAACTCCCGACCTTAGGTAATCCTCCCACCTCAGCCTCCTAAAGTGCTGGAATTATAGATGTGACCCACCATACCCAGCCAGACTTTGTTCTTAAACTTCAAACTGACTCTATTTAGATCATTGCCACCTTGGTTGTCCAATAAGCACCTGCATCTTTAATAATTTAACTTCTCCCAGCTGAACTTTTTTTTTTTTTAATTTATTTAAAGACAGGGTCTCACTCTGTCTGTCACCCAGGCTGGAGTGCATTGGCATGATCTTAGCTCACTGCAGCCTCAACCTCCCAGGCTCAAGCGATCTTCCCATGTAGCTAGGACTACAGGTGTGTACCATCACACATTTAGCTAATTCTGTTTATTTTTTGTAGACACTAAGTCTCTCACTATGCTGTTCAAGCTGGTCTGAACTCCTGAGCTGAAGCAATCCTCCTACCTCTCAAAGTTCTAGGATTATAGGCATGAGTCACCACACCTGGCCTGAACTCACTATCTTTTAACATTGCCTCTTCTTCTAAAAACCTGCTCCTCTCCTTTCTCTCTGAGTATTTAATAATAATATCCAGGGGCCGGGCGCGGTGGCTCAAGCCTGTAATCCCAGCACTTAGGGAGGCCGAGGCGGGTGGATCACGAGGTCAAGAGATCGAGACCATCCTGGTCAACATGGTGAAACCCCGTCTCTACTAAAAATACAAAAAATTAGCT